GCGCTCTCAAAGCGTACTGAGGCTTTGAGGGCCCAGGCGGCCACTTGCCGCCCGAGGAGCAGGTGAACGCGCAGATCGCGCAGCTTGGCTTGGCTCAGAAGCATAGGCGTCCTTTCTAGGCTAGTTTGATTGAAAACGACCTTTTTGGTTGATTTGGTTGAAAAATAGGTTGGAACCACCAGGTGAACCAGGAATCGCCCAGAAAGGACACCTATGCCCACAAGTCGAATTCGACGGCAACCCGCACAGCTCCGCGAGCTGACAGGCGGCCCCGAGCAAACGGCGAAGAATTGTTGATTGCCCTCGCTCCCATCTAACGTGGCACCTGACAGGCGGCCCCTTACAAGAGGAAATTTATCTTCCAGAGAATTTGCAAGATAGCTTGAATCATTCCGTGTGGTCATCGGCGCTCGGCCCTCACTGGCACCATTTCGACCTTGGCATGCTGGCGGTCTAGCAAAATGGTCTTTCTGGACAGGATCTGCGTCAGTCAAACGGCGGATAAGTCACAACCCATGCTGGTGCTTTGGGACGCTTCCTTTGCCGGCTGACCTTTGATGAGGTTCTTCTACGGGGTGGCGGGCGTGAGCCACTTCTGTTCTGAGGCACATCTTGGCGTCCTATCGCAACAACAGCTGCAAGAGACACATCAAAGCCCAGCCAGGCAGAACGAAGCGGCTACAACTGCGCCTTCAAACTGTCGAACAGGGAGATAAAAGGAATCACAAATGAAGCCTCGCCAAAGCTAACGAGTGGGCTCGCGCAAAGTATCACGAGCGAGTTGGTCAAGCACTCGCAGCATTTGGAGCTGGATTCGTGGCGAAAGAGGCATGCCAAGAATTTGCACCATGAGGTCAACATGGAACAAAGCAAAAAAGACAGCAATCCCGATAGAAAGCTACACCATGAACCACATCCAAATGGGGTCAGGTCTTCGAACTTCGTACTGAAAAAGATCGAATATGGCCCACTGTGCTGGGCTCAGGATAGCAACACTCCAAGCATCGCTAAATGAATTCCGCTCGAGCTTCTCCGTGATGACATCTACAACTTCAACCGCTGCCTTTGCATGACTTCTATGGAACGGTAGAAACCACGCAGGACATGGCAACATGCATAGGAGTTAGCAACACCAATGGTTGCGAAGCCAGCAATGGGCCACGCAAGTGCAAACTCGGCGTCCACACAAATTGGAGAAGAACCACGACTGGAATGAATGCCAGTGTGACCGTTACAAAATCAGCAAATGAGAATGGCCCTGTGGCTGGGCAAGCAACAAGAAGCCTTTCGCGTCGCTGGTTGCTTTTGAGGAATGCTGCAATCTCAAAGACTGGCTACCTGAGCGAATGTATGTGGCAGCAGAGGCTTGCAGAAAAGCTTCCCGGCCCAACCAAGTGCAGCCTACGAAATGGTTTCAACATGTGGGTATGTCTTAAAATAGGGGTAATTGGGGTACCCCCCCAAAATGTTTAGTCCTCCTTTTGGCTTCCCGTTACAAACGACCCCACAAAGGGTGCCTCAAAAAAGACAGACCTACGTCTTGCCATTTTCTCATTTTGCGTGCCATGAAATGGCGGCCCTTCGAGCACTACAATACATGCCGTATAAGGTCAACACACACACACACTGAGTGTATGGGTCCCCCATTTTCCACTTATTCAGCCAGGATCAGTTTGGGGCTCAGCATCTTGGCCAAGAGAATCGGCCACTTTGGAAAAAAAGTTTGTAAGAAGCTTCACGAATGGCTTGGCAACCCCATCTTTCAGAGTTGCCCAAATAATTAGAATCGGGTGGGGTACCTTGAGACCAAGTTGTTATTGGGGCGAAATATTCGTTAACCACAGATATATTTTTTGGCAACCTATTCCTAGTTAACGTTGCCCTTAATGATTCAAATATAAATGTGTATATATATATATATAGTACCTTAGCCGGAACTGCGGTCCGGTTGTGACATGTTTACACCCCCGCCAGGAACGATCCAACTCGTGGCTTAGGAAAGCCCTTTTTTGGGGGCTCCTTCCCGAGAACCAGCAAACCCCAGGCAGTGGGTCCAATGGTCCCCGCTGTTTTTGGCAAGTTTTCTTTAAATTGTCTTCTTTTTTCAATTTTTTAGGGGCTGCAAAAAAAAACCGAGTTGTTGTTTTTTTGCAAGCCCATACCCAGGTTTGTGACGAACTACTGGCCAGGATTCTTTCTGTGGCCCAGTGCTTCCAGCAACGGTCGTCGGCTCCAGGGATCCTTAGGTTTCATTCATAAGTGCCTTTCCCTGGTTGCCCAGTACACTCCCTGGAATTAAGCCCGGCGTTTTCGACGAACCTGCAAAAAAATAAAAAGCATAGAAGCTTCTTGGCTTCCTGTTTATTTCCAGGGAGCGTAACCGGAGCACTGGGGAGATTGCATCCTCCGAACTTCCGAAGCCTTATGGCAGGGGCCTTGGGGACCACAAGGTCACCAGCAAATTGGGGTAAGACCTCCACCTCCTTCGGCTCTGAGGTGG